TAAGAAACCTTTTTTTTGGACATGGCCATAACTATACATATTTGTAAAAGGTGTTTTGTTTTTCTTTCATTCTCAGTTGGAGGAAAGAAAACAGATTCTTGCTGATTGAAAAAAAATATTTTTTTAAATACAGAAAAGTTTCAAAGGCCTAAATGGCACTTATATTGTCTGAATATGCACCGTAGTTTGGTAACATTTTTCTTCGAACACATCAGATACAAGTTTCTCACTTCTTGGTGATCTGTAGCTATTTTGGTCCTATAAAACACCAGCTCTCTGGTGCTTTCTTGGATCAGCTCTCCAACGTCCGTCACATTTGGAATTCATCGTTGGCTGTTGGGTGGTATGATCTGAGGAGGGTGAGCTCCTTCCTGCTTCCAAGCATGGAACCAGCCTCAGTCTGATCCAGCACTCCCTTACCCTGCTCCACCCTTTTCCATTGTCTCCGTAGGAAGGTGCCTTCTGCTGAAAGGAGCATAAGATTTTGAAAAGCGCTACCTTGCTTTTTGGCTTGTCCTATATCATCAGCCATCTGTTCCCCTTGCTAGTCATCTGGAGACCATTACGTAAGGAACATGAGTTCAGTAGAACAATGTTTACTCATGCATTTATGTGCTATCTGATGGAGACTCCAAGTTCTCATACATTCTTCTACCTCATTGCAGTCCAGTTCCTTGGGTATCACAGATTGCTCTCTCTCTTTCTCCTGGCATCACCATAACTGCAGTGTTTCCTGACATTCTGGACAAAGCATATATGTGCACATTAGTGGATTATTAGGCTTGTAGTGCATACCAAAAGCATAATTGGCCAGTATTACGACCCATCTCTGGAAAACACATCCAACCTGCCCCTGCTCACAATATGTCAATGTGTTGACATGAGTTCACACTTGGAACTTTGCACCATATCCATAGTGTCTGAACTTCTCGGTGGAAGTCCACTTCAAAGCCAAAAATTAAAGCTTGTAGACAAGGCAACAGGATTCACCATCAGTCAGTCCTCTGATGGGGAGTGCAATTGGCCTCTCGTGACCATCAGTTTCTTGGTACCAAACAGCTTCCAACCCTTTCCTTTATGTGATAAACAGGAAGTTTGCTTGGTTCTGAATAAGCAATACTGATAATAGGTAGGCTATTGATAAGGGTTTTTCCCCATTTGCCTACTATCACCAAAAGACTTTGCAAGATTTGAGACAATTTTACTTTTCTTTGCCTTTTTTGTTTTGGGTCTCTTCAATCACATGTACATGAATGAAATCCTTCAATGGTTTAGCAACAGTAGTATAGTTCTTTTTTAAACATAGTATTTTTCCCAATTATACGTAAACGTAATTTTTAATTTTCATTTTTTTTTTTATTTTGACTTCCAAATTTTCTCCCTCCCTCTTTCACCTCTCCCTCCCTGAGATGGTAAGCAATTTGATATAGGTTATATATGTGCAATCATGTAAAACATATTTCCATATTAGTCATGTTGTGAAAGAAGAAACAGACAAAAAGGAAAAAAATACATGAAAAAAAATGCAAAACAGTATGCTTGGATCTGTATTCAGATTCCACTAGTTATTTCTCTGGATATGGATAGCATTCTTCATCATGAGTTCTTTGAAATTGTCTTAGATCATTGTATTGCTGAGAATAGCTACATTATTCATAGTTGATCATCCTACACTATTGTTGTTACTGCGTAAATGTTCTCCTGGTTATGTTCACTTCACTTTGCATCAGTTCGTGTAAGTTTTTCCAGGTTTTTCTGAAATCTGCCCGAAGAGAAATATAGTTCTTTCAAAAACAAAAACAAAAACTTACAATGACCACCAAACCCAAGGAAAGTTATTAAACCGATAAAGTTTTTCGGGCATGGCCACATGAAAAGTGCTTCTACCTTCTCCGGGTAGTGCCCGTGCCTCGTTGGGACATGATGTGGCCTCCATGCTTATTGTAAGCTCTCCAAAATTGACATTTGTTAATGACTGCTTCAAAGCAACTTCCTCCAGCTGCTCTAACACTTCCCTTAGTCTCAGCCTTCCCCCAGACAATGATGTCATCAGGTAGTTTATGTTCCCAACTACTTTCTCCATCAGCCCTTGGAAAGTGGCCAGTGCCGTTAAGATGCTTTGGGCACACACTCGAGTTAGTAAAATCCCAAGGTACGGAAAAAGCATTTTTTTCCTTGTCTTCCTCAGACACAGTAATCTGGCAGTATCAACTATGCCTGTCCAAGGTTGAAAACCACTGTCTTCCTAGCAAATAAGCCAAGGCATCTTTTACCCATGGCATACTATACCCATGCAATGGATAAAGTGCTGGGCCTGGAGTCAGTAAGACCTGAGTCCAAATCTAGCCTCAGACACTTACTTAGCTGTATGACCCTGGGCAAGGCTCAGTTTCTTAGTCTGTAAAATGAGAATAATAAAAGCACCCACCTCCCAGAGCTATCATGTAGATCAACTGAGATAAATATAAAGCACTTAGCAAGTACCCAGCACATATTAGGCACTACACAAATATTAGTTAGTTAGTTAATGTTAGTATTGTTAGTGGTGGTGCTTATGTTTAAAGACCATTAATCTATTCATATTCCATTGTTCGTAGGCACTATCAAAATGGGCAAGGCATAAGGACTGCTGCTTTCTGTGATGATGCAAGTAACTAACACTTCACTGAGATGATTTCTGAGGTTTTGTTATGATACACAGAGGAAGCCTCCTAGGTCTTTCTAAGAAGGGTCAGCAATCAGTGAGGTGGAGTCTATGGGTTGCACATTGAGCACATCTTTCCTTCCACTCATTCACTGAGAACATCTATGTCCTCCTGCTGAGTGTCAGTCTCAACCTCTCCTTCTACTCTTGTGGGAATGGAGAGTTCCCAAACACAATCAGATTGGGGATCCAGTTCAGAAAAACTTCCCAGAAAAGCTTTTAGATTCCTTGTAGATTCACTTATCTCTCTTTGACAAAAAGAACCTGACTTCAGTTTGGTTTACCAGTCCCAGGAAACCCTTAAAGTTTTAGAAACTGCCTTATTTCCCTTTGAAAGCAAACTTCCCCTCCCAGCTCCCTTCATTATCTATTCTCATTGTCTGTTCAAATCACTCAGACATTCCAAACGGAAATTCTCACCTGGACCCTTCTCAAAATGACTCACCTCACCAGTCAACCGGCTTTCCCATTGTTTCACCTTCTAGTGGCCTTTGGCCATTTCTTACCCTTAATCCTACCTAGGTGCCACAAGGTCCGGGACCCAGGAGTTCCGTTCCCCCCAGCTTGCTGGCTACTCCCATCCAGATCTCCTCGGACCCCTCCTCCCATCACTCCAAGCTGCTTGGCCACTCCTAGACCCCTCCCCAATCTTTCTGTACTTAAGACTCATCTTTCCCCCAGTCAGGGGCTGGGAATTTCTCATGCCCCTAGAGGATGAGACCTCCACGGTTAGGAGCTGGGGTGGGGTTTGGGGCTGTTGTTGCCCTCCAGGCCTGGTCAGTTCTTCCGCCTCCATTCATTTGGACTTAAGAGGGAAGGCGCTCCCTTTTGCTGCCATCTCTCAGAATTCCCAGTTTCCTTCCAGACTCACCTCATTTCAGCTTCTAGATAAGGCTTTTCTTGATGCTCCCAGAGGACCATTCCTTGCCCTCCACATATTTTTTAAAGTGTTTTATTATTGCATTTTGTTTTCATATGAGCCATTTGACAAAGAAACCGGCCCTCTCTGCAAATTCAATCCTGGGCAGCTAGGCGGCACAGTGGATAGAGTGCCCAGCATGGAGTCACGAAGACTCATCTTCATGAGTTCAAATATGGCCTGATACTTAATAGCTGTGTGACCCAGAGCAAGTCACTTAACCCAGTTTGCCTGAGTCTCCTCATCTATAAAATGAGTTGGGAAAAGAAACGGCAAACCACTTTAGTATATCTGTCAAGCAAATCTCAAAATCGGGTCACGAAGAGTCAGACACGACTGAAATAACTAAACAAGGTGGCAACTGATAGTGTGTTAGATATGGAGTCAGCAAGTTGTGAGTTCAAATATGACCTCAGACACTTACTAGCTGAATGACCCTGGCAAGCCACTTAGCCTCTGTTTGCCTCAGTTTCCTCAACTATAAAATAGGAATAATAACAGTACTTCTTTCCCAGTGTTCATGTGAGGAATAAATGAGATATCTATAAAGCTCTTAGCAGAGTGCCTGGCATATACTAGGCATTTAAATGCTTGTTTCTTTCATGTGACAAAAACAATTTAGCAAAAACCTCCAATACCGTGACCCTGTTTGTAACGTCAACTACACTGTCTTAATAACCCCCTATATCCCTTCTGGAAGGAAGGAGATACTTTTCACCGTTTCTTGTGGGACCTTCACTGATTTCTCAGTTACGCTGACTTCTCATTGCTGTTAGCAATCCGCCAGTTTACACTGTGATCATCACTGTATAAGGTTTGAGGATTTCTGCTTACTTTGCTCTGCATTGATTCATATTGAATTCAGGGAGCAGATTGAAGAAACAAGCAAGAATAAACAGGCAAAACCAGGAGTTAACTGTTTGCTAAACTCAAGAATATAAATGCCTGGGGGGAGGACTCCCGTTTTGGACAAGTACTGCTGAGAAATTGAAAAATAATGTAAATTAGGCTTAGACTCACATCATATATCATATCGCAACAAACTGAAGATGGATTTCTGTGCTGACTACCAATCATTTATCATGAAAACAAAACTCCGAAGAGAACAGGAGGAGGTTTGTCCATAGCTGTGGCTCGTGGAGAATTTTTGACTGTGGCAGGATGGTTGAGGGAAGAGGTTTAATGATATTGATTCAAATTTTTTCAGAGTGATAAGTGATGATGATGTGGTTTTGAGAGGAGGGGTAAGTACATAGAACAAACAAAAATAAGATTCTGAGGGGAACAAAGACAAGGGGGGAGAGCTTTGGAGCCAACATACTGAGCAATTAATTATACGCTGTAAAAAAAAATAAATAAAAGAAGCAGAGTCTAATGGAGTTTCACCATTCCATGTACGAACTTCTTTATGTATGGAAAGTATTCTGTTTGCTGGTGTTTCTGAAGTTCAAGCTAACAAAACCTAAAACATTTTTTATTTAATGTACAAATGGATTATACAAGAAAAGTCACAACTCTCCACACCCTTTGGTCAGCCAACTCTACTACTGGGCTTATATCCCTCAAAAGTCAATGACAGATGGAAAGGTCCACTACATATTATTATATTCACAGCAGCACTTTTCATGTGGTAGCAAAGAACTGCAAACAAAGAGGATACTAATAATTGGAGAATGAGAGAAGAAAGTATAGTCTATTAATGTCCTGGAATATCATTGGGCAATAAGAAATGACAGACATAAGGCATTCACAGGAAAATTCATCGCATTTCTATGGCTTTACCGACAACATGAATTCTCCGATATCCTAGAAGGTCAGTGCTCCAGCTAAAGGCCTTCTTTCCCACATCAATTAGCTTCATTCCAATACAACTTCGATCATACCCAGGAAGATATGAACTGCAGATGAAGGCCTTCCTTCATCCATTACATTTATAGGGCTTCTCTCCGGTATGAATTCTCTGATGTGCAGCAAAGTGAAAATTCTGTCTGAAAGCCTTTCCACGTGGATTACATTTAGAAGTTTTCTCTCCAGTGTGAACCTTCTGGTGTAAAATAAGGGATGATTTCAGGATAAAGGCCTTCCCACATTCATTGCATTTATAAGGCTTCTCTCCAGTATGAATCCTCTGATGTACTCTAAGATTTGAGCTTCGGCTAAAGGCCTTCCCACATTCATTACATTTATAGGGCCTCTCTCCAGCATGGATACTCTGATGTGTAAGAAGGGATGTACTCTGGCTGAAGGACTTGTCACATTCATTACATTTATAAGGTTTCCCTCTAGTATGAATATTCTGATGTCTAAGAAGGTCTCTACTCTGGCTGAAGGCCTTCTCACATTCATTACATTTATAGGGCTTCTCTCCAGTGTGAATGTTCTGATGTCTAAGAAGATCTCTACTCTGGCTAAAAGCTTTTCCACATTCATTGCACTTATAGGGCTTTTCTCCAGTATGAATCCTCTGATGGACAGCAAGGTTGGAGTGATTTCGGAAAGCCTTCCCACATTGATTACATTCATAAGGTTTTTCTCCAGAATGAATTCTCTGATGTGCAATAAGGGAGGAGCTATAACTGAAGGCCTTCCCACATTCATTACATTTATAGGGCTTTTCTCCAGTATGAATCCTCTGATGTCTATGAAGGTCTCTACTCTGGCTAAAAGCCTTCCCACACTCATTACATTTATAAGCCTTTTCTACACTGTGAATTTTTTGATGTTGACTAAGATCTGTGTTCCGAAAAAAGGTCTTCCCACATTGATTACATTCATAAGATTTCTTTCCCACAAGAACTCTCTGATGTAGACTAAGAGATGAGTTATGGGTGACAGCTGTACCACAGTTATAAGGCATTTCTCCAATATTACGCTTCTGATGACTAATGAGATCTGGGCTCAAGTTCAAGGATGTCTCACAGTGTTCACCTTGAAAACCTTTGACTCCATGATGCTGGATAAGATCCATCTCCTCATTAAAGCTCTCCCGATGTTCACTATATTTGGAATATCCATTCCCTGAGGTGATTTCCTTACATTCAAACAGGTCGGAATATTGCTGTGAGCTCCTTCTACTTTCAGCATGTTCATGATGAATCTCTGACCCCTGATTAGAATTTCTCTCCAATGTATTATGTTCATCACCTTTCCCTTCACTGGGAGTTCTCCTGAGGCTCATTTTTAGTTGCTTTGAATGACTCTCCCAGCTGCCTTGTTTCTTCCCTGACCTGATATCGGAATCCCAGATTTCTCTCCATTTTAAATCAAAGGAAATGCTCGGCTTTTGTGTAGTTTCCTTCATTTTAGGCTTGGTCTCCCCATCTGAAGGAAACAAAAAGGGAAAAATATATTGCCTTCTTCTACTGGCAGAAAGAAAACTAGTTTACAGTTAGTGTCACTTCAGTCACCCCCTTTCTCCTCACTCTCCTCCCTCCTGACCTCCCCTGAATGCCCAGAGCACATCTAGGTTAGCCAGACATGGACCTACTATAGAAGGCCCTCCTCCCTCTCCCTCCCCTCATTCCTTCCCTTGGCCACCTAGAAACCATTAGTGTTTCTTGACTGCTAACATGGCTTGAGTAAGATAGGAGCAACCAACTTTATTCCTTTCCAAGAGATGGAGAACCATGAAGTCTTATCATCTGCTTTGCCATTGCCTTCTAAGGTCCCCCAGACCTCTGCCCTACCTCTATGCCCTCCAGATTACCTGGAACTGTTATCTGACCTACTGGTGCTATAACCAAAGGATCCAGGACATTGCTACTGATAATCATTTAAGATCAACTGAGCCCCAATAAGGCTTTTCTCTCTGAGTGAACTAAGAATGCCCCTTCCTGTGTCAAGAGCTTAAGCTGACCAAGAGCATTCTTACATTTATGACCACTAAGGTGCCTTTAACCCAGATACTTCCTTGAATAATGGGACTTTTCTTATCTTGGTATTTTATGGACATAGGCTATGTTGTGTCATGTTAATGGTAAAGGAAACACAGATATACTAGATCTATAATTTATACTTTGACATTCTCCTATCTTATTGTATTTACAATCTATTCAATTAAGAAAATTCCTTTCTCATGCTATGGTTAAACACATATGGAGACCACAAATCTGAGTAACACAGACATCCTGAGTCAGGGTTTAAATGTGCTCCTAAAATTGCTTGAGTCAGTCAGAGTTCAAGCTCTGGCTCCATGTACATGTCACTAACTTAAGGGAATAAATGATAGGAATTTACTTATCACCTAGCTTATTGTCTCTTTAACCAGCTTTCAGGTCGACACTATTCACCTGGATTTAGGACCTCTGGGTCTTTCTATTGCACTGAAGCTGAACATTCTGCTGTCTGTTATCTTCTCCAATTTGAGTATGAGTTCCTTGAAAAGAGGGACTGTCTGACCTTTTCTACATGGATTCCCAGAACAGTGCTGGGCACTTAGTAAGTTGTTAATGAATGGCTCTTCATTCATTCAGTTGGTCAAGAAGGAGAACCTTCAAACTTGAAATGGAAGAATCATGAATAACAAAATACCCCTACTTACAGAAGGATTTTTATAGAAAGAGCTTCCCATAGTTTCACACAAGATCCCCCCAACAAGCAGGTGACAGAGCAGGCGTTCTTTACACTTTACAGCTCAGAAAATGGACTCAGTGAGAGGACCAAAGCCACACTGCTTATAAGGGGGATGTTCCAACTCCAATGGCTGGTCCAGAGTTCCTTCTACAGCCTCGAACTAGCTCTCTCCACTTGAGCACGATCCTTTTTTCCAAAAAGGATTACTAATTACAATTTTTATTTTGTTCCAGTCAGTAAAGGATGTGTCTTATATTTCTGCTTTTCTGTGCTTTCTTGGAAGTTTTTTAGGCCCTAGCACACGGTCAGTTCCGTAAAGTTGCTATCCCAAGCTGAAAAATGGGCATATTCCACTCAATTCTGAAAAGATCAGTCTTTACTATATTGATTCTATAACATAACTGATTGTATGCTGTATTAATTTTATGATTGAGTCTGTATCTGCCTAAAGTCACCTTTCCATGTCCTTGAGTTGAGTTCAGGAATTTAACTTTCCCTCTGAGTTAGTTTGAAGACATAAAAAGAAAAGTTGTTATCTATCATATCTTCACCTCCAGCAGACATTGATTTGTTATCTTTAAACCCCACAAGTTAACATGGCACCACATCCAAAAGAGATGCCATCTGTCCTTGCCAGTACTTGAGAAGTTAAGGGAGATTTTATCCCTTCAAAGGAGACAGCAAGTCTGGAAGTTCTGATCCCATAGCTAAGATAACAAGATGCAGGTGGGGTCCCATAAAACAATTAGCATTCCTTAATTGTCAGAGAGGAGTTAACCTCACTTGAATGTCAGCCCACTTTTTTTTGTATAGCCAATAGTAATGTTCCACAACTACCAAGGCCCTTTCTTTCTCAGGAATCAATAAAGAGGGTCCGCTCCTCATTGGGGTCACTGGCTTTACTGAGGTGGCCAGCCTGACCAGCTTTGTTAATATACCCATAACTGTTAATAAATGTATCTTGCTCAGAGTATGTGCCTCAGTCTACCTTTATTACATTACTCGCGACCATTCCCTTCAGGTAATTGCCAGTGATTTATGCAGCCATCAGCTGGGGAAGCAACCCCTGGAGAGATGCAGATTGCAAACTACTTCTATAGGGGCTGCGTCTCTGCCCCCTCAGCAGTCTCTCCACTACTGAAGACCCACAAAAGAAAGCTCTCGCTATCAAAATCCTTGGCATTGTCATATAGTTCCATATCAGAAATGGATAGGATTTCATTAGTGTAAATGAGATTAAAGAACATGCATTGCCTCTGCATAAGGGCCATGAGACCTTTCCATTGGACTTAAAGCTACAAAAGCTCTGTATTTTGTCTCCGTTAGAAAATGAGCTCCTTGGGAGCAAAGGCTACCTTGCTTTTTAATTTATAATTCTACCCTCATTGCTTAATAAATGCTCTTTCATTTATTGATTCAATACTTTACCTTTACACTTCAGTGACTCTGACCTCACCTCAATGTAAGGGGTTCCCTCCCCTGAGTTAACGAGAGTCCACCAAACCTGACAATCTTCTATTTTTCTTGTCTGAATTTATCAATATCCTCATAAAATGCAAAGCCCAGAAATGGACATTCCAGTGAGATCACAACAGATCCCAGTACAATGGGCTTATCAGGACCTTCATTAGGGACACTGTGTTTCTATCCCTGCAGCCCAAGTTTAGAACAGTTTTCTGGACCTCCCTGTCTCATTTTTAACTCCACTGGTTTTTTTGCATGAACCATGCTCTAGACCATGGGTGGAGAACCTACGGCCTTGAGGCCACATATGGCCCTCTAGGTCCTCAAGTGCAGCCCTTTGACTGAATCCAAACTTCACAGAACAAATCCCCTTAATAAAAGTTGTGTAAAACTTGGACTTAGTCAAAGAGCCACACTTGAGGACCTAAAAGGTCACATGTGGCCTCAAGGCCACAGGTTCCCCACCCCTGGTCTAGATACATATCCCCAGCCTGTAACTGTGCAAGTGATTTGTTGAACCCATGTATTTAAAGGAAATGCCATCTTATCCAAGTTGGTATCCTGTTTATTGACCTTCTATCTGCTTCAAAGACTGCCATCAATGTGACCCATTCATAGAAGGAGGCAGACTTTATTCACAGCTATCTATATCATCCTGTTAAGGTGATTCAACAATCCTGGAAGCTAGGGAACAATTACTCTGTCTCATGCCCCTCTCAGGGCTTAGGTGATTGTTTTAACCTATTAGGAAATGAAATATGTTGACTCAATGACCAGTGAGGGGAGGTAACTCAGAAGAATGACTTCTGGGACAAAGGAGACCCCAAGTATAGCGAAAGAAAAAGCTTCGTGTCATACAGAGAACCATCTTCATTCATTGTTATTTTAGACATCTGTGACATTCTTTTCTTTTTCAAAGAATACAAAGATCCCACAAAAGAAATGAGGAAAATAACTCATGCTGACACAAAGGATTTATGAAAATGCTCAAAGCAGAAAGCCTCTGCCCTTCTCGAATGACCTTGGAGGCTTTGAGGAATGTGCTCTGCTCATTATTCCCAAGCACACTCAACATTTCCACATGAAGACTTCCCGAGACAAGAGGCCAGAAGCTCTTGGTTTCCTTCACTCACCTAGACCAGAGCTCTTCGTGTCTACTTGCTTCAGCATCCATGGTGTTTCTGCTTGGTCCACCTGGGAGATCAGTTCAGCTTTGGGAACTGGAAGCCCTGCTCATGGTAAATAAGGAAGGCCTGAGCACACAGAAAATCTCAGAATGCGGTACTCTTCAGGGAAAGGGGACATTCGGGGAAGGGCTGCAGGGTGGTGCCAAGAACCCCTTAGATATGCTGCTGGGAGCTACAGGAGAGGAGGGGGAAAAGTTCATTAAACCCATTTGGAATCCAAAAACCGGTTCTTTGCCCAGTGCCCCTCTTAAAAGCATGAGAAACACCCATGACTTCTAACATCTGCAATGGAATTTAAGGGAAATGTCTAGAAAGGATAAGGATAGACTTTCTCTGCTAGGCCCCTGAGGGTAGGATTGAGAGCAGAAGCTTACAAATGCAGGCCCCATAACAGGAGGGGCATCCTAATGATGAGGCAAGGCAGGGGCTGCCTTAGGAACTAGGGAGTTCCCTTCAGAGGAGATCTTCAAGCAAAAGTTATTAAGGAGGAGGCAGAGGAAAGGTGGGAAATTAGAGACTGGATAATCTCCCAGATGGCTTCCAAGTCTGAGATTCTTCAATTCTGGCTTCATCTTTAACTTGAAACTCCCTAGAAACATTGAGACAGCCTGAAAAGCAATAAATCAAACTCCCAGCTTCCTGTTAGACAATGCAAAGACTTCTATGTGAGAACAGAGAGCATTGGGGACCCTGACTCTTGGATAGAAAGAACTGAGGGTCCTCTGGTTTCTAATGATGGATAAATGCTTGATATACTGTGCAAGAGGTAGCAGGGGAGAGGGCAAAGGTATGCCCTACAATGCCAGATTCCAAAAGGTTAGGGCACAAGTGGGCTCAGAGGATGAGCTGTTCTTACCCAAGGAGAGCAGGCTCTGAGAGATCTCCAGCATGACATCCTTGTACAGTTCCTTCTGAGAAGAGTCAAGAAGGCACCACTCCTCCTGACTGAAGTCCACAGCCACATCTTTGAATGTCACAGATTTCTAAAATAACAAAAGCCATAGGAATTAGACTAGTTCAACAACCTCAATTTACAGAGGAGGAAACTAATTCAAAGAAGACCACAAGGCTCATAACTTAACATTTGAAACCAATCATCACTCCAGGAGCTAAATGGAATGTTGAGAAGAGCAGTTTGTCCTGGCATTTGGAAGGCAATTGAAAAAATGTCTTATTGTGAAGTGCTTGTCCCTGTGGAGATAGAAAGATGATGTGTCTTTTAGCTGTGATTTTTAAGGTTTTGTGAGGATCTACAGAGAAGATAGGGCACACAAAGTGATACGAATCTCCTTCCTCATCAAAACTGTACAAAGGGCTATTTTATAAAGAAACTTTGTAAAGCAAAGTCTATTAATAGTTTGTGAGAATCTGGAAAGAAAAAATCTATTCTGCAAAAAATATTTCTTGTGGCTAAGAGAGGACAAACAAAAAAGCGCAACATACTTTGCTTTCTAAGAAAGAGATCTGACTCTTTTCTATAGGAGAAATATGAAGAAAATTCTTTTAAAAACAATTTTTATTGGTACCTTTTGCATTATCTTACCTTGATTTCCCCCTGTGTCACTGCCCATCCCACCTCCCAGAAAGCCATCCTTTTAAACAAAGTTGTTGGGTTTTTTTTTAAGAGAAATAGTTTAATTGTTTGGGAGGGGTTGTTCTTTCCATTTGCATTGTTGTAGCTGTTGTATATAAAGTTTACTTGGATCTGCTTACTTCACTTTGCATCAGTTACACAAGTCCTTCCAGGCTTCTCTATATTTATCATATTCACTGTTTCCTACAGCACAATGATATTCCATTATATTCCTATGCCACAATTTTCTTAGTCATTCTCTAGTCAACAGGTATCTGCTTTGTTTCTGTTATTTGCTACTACTAAATCTGCAGCTAAAACATTTGGGTATATATGAGCCTTACATTTTGAAACTGATTTCCCTGGGATATATGCCTAGCAGTGGAAGCTCTGGCTCAAACAGGGGGGGCATTTTAGCCACTTTATTTGCATAATTCCACAATGTTTTATAGAAAGGCTGTGCTCAGTCACAACTCGACCAATAATTAATTCCCGTACTTGTCCTTCCCCAACGCCTCCAACACTGACTAGACCCATTTTTGATCATTGTATTTCTCTTCCTATTAGTGATCCAGAGCATTCTTTTTATTGTTAACTAGTTATTAGGTTGTTTAAGTTATTAACAATTAGGTTATTAATAGTTGGCAATTTTTCTTTTAAGAAATGTCTGCTACGTATTTTCATCAAAAATATATTGAAGGGGGTGGAGCCAAGATGGAGGAGGAAAAGCAGGGACTTGCTTGAGCTCTTCCCCCAACCCCTCCAAATACCTGTAAAAATGGCTCTAAACAAATTCAAGAGCAGCAGAACCCACAGAAAGACAGAGTGAAACAAACTTCCAGCCCAAGACAACTTGGATGGTTGGTTGGAAAGGTCTATCTCGTCAGGCTGGGAGAGAAATGCAGTTTAGTGTGGGTGCTCAGGCAAAAAGACCAGGCCACAGCAAACCTGAAGCAGGCCTCAGGGGGCTGAATCACGGGCAGCTGTGGTGGTTTCCAGACTTCTCAACCCACAAATGCCAAAGAAAACTTAGAAGGTCACTAGGAAAAATCTGTGACTGCGGTGAGAGAGAAGCTAGGTCCCATCCCCTCTCGGTGCAGCCCCAGGGCAGCAGCTGCTTCCTGAGCTTCTGGCCCACAGACTGAGGGAGAATCAAGTGACTGATCAGAGGGGGATTGCAGGGAGAAGGTGAGAGGGAATGAGTGAATCTTATTCTCATTGGATTTGGCTTAAGGAGGGAATAACATACACACTCAATTGGGTATGGAAAGCTATCTTACCCTACAGGAAAATAGGGAGGAAGGGGATAAGAGAGCAGGGGGACAATAGAGAGGAGGGCAGACTGAAGGAGGAGGTAAACAGAGGCAAACATTTCTAAGGAGGGACAGGGTCAAAAGAGAGAATAGAATAAATGGGGGGCGGGATAGGATGAAGGGAAATATACTTAGTTTTTCACAACATGACTATTATGGAAGTGTTTTGCATGACTACACATGTATAACCTGTATCGAGTTGCTTGCCTTCTCAATGAGGATGGGTGGGGAGAGAGGCAAGGAGAAAATTTGGAACCCAAAGTTTTAAAAACAAATGTTAAAAATTGTTTTCACATGCAACTGGGAAATAAAATATGCAGGCAATGGAGTATAGAAATCTATCCTGCCCTACAGGAAAATTGTAGGGGAAGGAGATAAGAGGAGCTGGAAGATAGAAGGGAGGGCAGATTAGGAGAAGGGGTATTCAGAATGCATGCCATCCTGGAGTGGGGGGAGGGACGAGATGGGGAAAAAATTTGGAATTCAAAATCTTGTGGAAGTGAATGTCAAAAACTAAAAATAAATAAATTTTTAAAAATATATTGAAAAATGGTTTTTGTTCTTCAATATTACTATTAATTGTTCATATCTCTTGGAATCCAAACCTTCAACTGAGAAACTTCATGGAAAGATTTCAGTTCCCATTCTCATCTGAGATACTTAGTTTTTTTCAAAAGCATCTTTTGTACTTGCCTCTCACTTTTCTGGTTACTAATTTACCTCTTATCTGTAGCTATGAAAAATATATGATCTTAGGCTCTTCTAAATTTTATGGCCTAATCTTTAATATTCAAGTCATGTGTTCATTTTCAATCTATTATGGAATATGCTATCAACTTTTGATCTGATATACAATTACAAAATGTTAAACATTGCAAACTGGCTTCCAAAGTACAAGATGGTTAGCAACTTCAAGAACAATTTAAATCGCTGGAGAAGTATTTCGTACTAATGGCTAGACTGAGCCAATATGAGAAACATGACTGTATTGCCCACGTCAATAGAGTTAACACTATAGAAAATTACCAAAGACATGCTTTACAGAGCTAGATAAAAAATAACAACAAAATGCATTTGGAACAAATGTGGGTTGAACAAAAGACCTCGGCAATCCATAGAAATAATGGGGAGAAAAGGGCAAGAATGAAAAGGGAATAGAACTGCTTGCCCCAAACTATATGATGGATCAGCAGTCATTAAAATCATTTGGTACTGGTTTAAAAAACATAGAAGTGGATCAATGAAACATAGGAGGCCAGAGATTCAAACATGGCTGTTTCTGCTGAGGGGACTGACATACTTTCTGTTTCCTAGGTTCATAATCTCAGCATTGTCCTGAATTCCTCAATCTCTTTTTTTCCCCTTTAGGCAATTGGGGCTAAGTGACTTGCCCAGGGTCACACAGCTAGTAAGTGTCAAGTGTTTGGTCTGAGGGCGGATTTGAACTCAGGTCCTCCTGACTCCAGGGCCAGTGCTCTATCCACTGTGCCACCTTGCTGACCCTTGATTCCTTCATCTCTTGTACCCACATATCCAATCAATGAATCCCAAACATTGATATTTCTCCCTTCCTAACATCTCTTGCTCCTGAGCCCTTCTCTCCACTCACAAGGCTATATAGGCATAGTTCTGCCCCTTCTCACCCCTCACCGAGATTATAGCAACAGCTTCTTCCCTACCCTAAGTTTTTCAGCACACAGCTATCAAACTGATTTTCACTAAGCATGGAACTGATCATAAAACTGGACTATGCGACCCTCTCTAGTGGTTTCTTATTGCTCTAGGATAACATGAAAACTCCTTTGTTGTTGTTCAGTTATTTTTCAGTTGTATCCAGTTCTTTGTGACCCCGGTTTGGGATTTTCTTGGTGAAGACACTGGAGTGGTTTGCCATTTCCTTCTCCAGCTCACTTTACAGATAAAGAAACTGAGGCAAACAGGGTTAAGTGACCTGCCCAAGGTCACACAGCCAGTAAGTGTCTGAAGCCAGATTTGAACTCAGGAAAATAAGTCTTCCTGACTCCAGGCCTGGTACTCCATTCACTGTGTCACCCAGCTGCAGAATCTTTCCTTTTAACAAAAAATAAATAAATAGATAAATAGATAAACAAATAAACAAACAAACAAACAAATAAAAGGGACAGCTAGGTGGTGCAGTAGATAGAGCACCGGCCCTGAAGTCAGGAGGACCTGAGTTCAAATCCAGCCTCAGACCAAACACTTGACACTTACTAGCTGTGTGACCCTGGGCAAGTCACTTAACCCCAATTGCCTAAAAACAAAAAAAACCCAGAATTTTTCCTTTTTTTTGAAGGAAACGTCTTTACTTAAGTATTAAAGACCTTCACAACCTGGGCCCAAGCTACCTTTCCAATCTCATTAGACATTACTCCTATCCTGCACTCCGTAATACAGCCCCCCTGGCCTCTCCATTCCTTACAGAATTTTCCATGTCAAGGCCTTTGCATCCACCATCCTCTGTGCCTACAACGTGCCTCTTTACATTCAACTTAGAAAGTTCCTGTCTTTCTTTAAAAGGCAGTTCAGACATCTGCATGAAGCCTTTTCTGATCCCTACCACCTGCAACTACTACTGCCTTTCCTCCCCAGCAACTTGTACTTAACTACTTTGTTAATATTTAAATGTACACGGATATGGATATATACTTTGTATACATAGGTATTTATATATTTGAGGTGTCTCTTGTTAAAATGTAATCTCACAACAACTAGGGATTGTTTCATACCTGTCTATTTACCGTCAGCACTTAGCATAGTTCTGGCACACAGAAGGCACTTAATAAATACTTATTAATTCCACTTCTTCAGTTTTTAGCCCCAAGTCGACCATTTGCTTTTTCATAGTCTCTATTGGCTTTGGAACCACTCTTGGTCAGGTACATAAAAATAATTTACTTGCCACCATTTTCAATTTAATGTTTTAAAGCTATAATTTTCAATATATTTCATGTCTGTTTCTTCTATAATTTCATTTTATTCCATCATTTCTCTTCTGAAACATTCTAGAGATTCTAATTCCATTTTTTTTGAGAGCTTCCTGAGAATTCACAGGGCTGAACTTGTTTCTAGGTGGACTATATCCCAGAGACCCAGGGATTCCAGGTGGAGCCATATGGCAGTACACATTGTCTAACCCTTCTTTCCTCAAAGGGCAGCTAGGTGACACAGAGTACCAGGCCTGGAGTCATGAGTTCAAACCTGGCCTCAGACACTTGGGCAAGTCACTTAACCAGTTTGCCTCAGTTTCCTCATATGTAAAATGAGCTGTAGATAGAAACAACAAACCATTCCACTGTCTCTGCCAAGAAACCCCCAAATGGAGTCACAAAGTGTCGGACATGACTTAATAACAACCAAAAGAGATGATGGGGGCAAGGAAAGGAGTCAGAGAGGTTGAAAATAAGAGCATGGAATTGTCTTATTTATTTGGTGTTAGAAATGCTAAAACGGGGCAGTTAGGTGGCACAGTGGATAGAGCACCGGCCCTGGGGTCAGGAGGACCTGAGTTCAAATTCATCCTCAGACACTTAACACTTACTAGCTGTGTGACCCTGAGCAAGTCACTTAACCCCATTGCCTAGAAAGAAAGAAAAATGCTAAAGCCCAGAATGTTCTTGAAGCTATCTGTTGACTTGAAGACAACCTCACAAGGTCTAGTGTCTTCAGCTGCTTCTTTTGAGCAAGCCAGAGAATTTTCCAACATGAGTCTAACTAGCAGACTCTCTGGATGTATATATCAAGGCCACTGTCAGAAAAGTAAGGACCCAGGGCCACAGATGAGAGGGAGCTGTGGGCAACTTGAGGAAAGAGAAGCTGAACAACTTACTGCCCCATGGCTCCCCCCGGAGCCCCTGTGACCCTGGGGTGGAGCCCACCCGGAAGCCAGCTCAGCTCTATCTGTGCCAGGCTCTGGTCTGGTCTTACCCTCTCCTTCTCCTGTGCCCCCTTAGCTTTCCACGCTCATGACATGTTACTCCCCCTCATGTCTTCTAAGTCCTAGTGTCACCAGCATCCTTACCAATGTCATTCTGTCCCCTCTCTCCCTGTCCTTCGCACAGGCTGTCCCCATGTCTGAGGTGCTCTGACATTCTCCCCCTCCTTAGTGTCTCCTTTGGAATTCTTGGTTTTCTTCAAGTTCAGTTCAAGTGTTCCCTATTTTGATAGGCCTTTCCCCAAGTTGTTAGCACCCCCCTCCCCTCAATCACTGTGTTTTCCTTGGGAGGGGGACAGGAGATACATCCCCTGTGTGCTTACATGTAGGCACATGTAGTCCTTCTGGCATTATATAAGCTCCTTGGTGTCAGACATAGTTTTACTGTTATATTTGTATCCCCAGTGCCTGGTGCACAGTAGGGTGCTGTTTGAATACTTATTGATTGTTGTTGACTAATTGAAGTCGATTTTAAGAGAGATGAAAGTAGAATTGAACACTAGGGTTCAAAAAATATCCACTTCACAAGTACAAGATAGAAGCATGGCTAGGCAACAGCTCAACTGATACAGATCTGGGGGTCTGAATGGACTACAAGCTCAACACAAGTCAACAGTGTGATATGGTTGCCCAAAAAGTTAATGCCATTTTAGGCCTCACTAAGAGAAGCTCAGGGTCCAAGACCTAAAAGACCCTGTGTTTGTTGCCATGGTCTGAAGGGGCCCTTCTGAAGTCTTGTTCTGGGTTCTATCTTTGAGGAAGGCCAGTGGGAAGACACAGAGCATCCCCAGGAGGATGAACAGAATGGTAAAGGGCCATGAGATGGGGCCATTAAGAATTGCCGGAAGGAAGTTTGGAGCTTTTATCTGGAGAAAAGATTTCGGCGGGACATGAACAGTAGCTGAATTTGAATATCTCAAGCACAGTCACAGAGAGGAGAGTTTGGACTTGTTCTGCTTGGCAGAGACATAGAACCAGGAGCATAGGGAGGAGTTGTAAAGACACAAATTTAGGCTCAATTGAAGGAAAAACTTCCTACCCAACAGAGTTGTCAAAAAATAGAATGGGTTCCCCTCATTGGAAACCACGAAGGATGTGGGGGTGGCAGAAGGCATTCTCATTCGGGCATGAGTTACAGAACTGACTACTGAGGCCCCCATCACCACTGAGATGCTGTGATTCTGGAACTCAATCATCACTGATAGGAGCTGAAAAGGTGTTTGTTCACAGGAAGAGATCAAAGCCGAGGGAAAGGACCCCTGGGTACTAAAATATTCACAGCAGTTCTTTTGGTTGCAAGGGCAAAAATAAAAACTACTAATACTAATAGTTAGCATTTATATAATTTGCAAGGCACTTTATAAATATTGTCTTTTATTTGTCTTTAACGAGATAATATTTGTAAAGTACTTAGCATAGTGCCTGGCATATAGTAGGTGCTTAATAGATGCTCCCTTCCCTCTATCTTCACAATATCCCAGGAAGGCAGGTACTATCATTATCCCTATTTTACAAATGAAAAAATTTAGGCTGAGGTGAAGTGACCTGTCTAGGGCCCCACAGCTAGTTGCTACTGTATTAGATTTATTTATTAAAAAGAGAAACAATCCATAAATAATGGTTCTGTATTGAATCTCATTCTGCTCTTCTCTTGGTATGAAAATGTTTGTATTTTCTGATGTTTGTGAAGTCTGTGGACTGACTGCACTTACCATGGATGGAGTTCTCTGGGCCCTAGGGGCCATTCGCTCTGGCTCCAGGCTCCCCTCTTGGGACAGGCCTGGATCCTCCACAGGCTGAGCTAGGGATGCAAAAGGATCCCTGAAGGGGAGAGCTCTTGCCCTTCCTTTCCCAGACCGGAGGCTGGCCATCTCCACAAGCACCTACAGAGAGGAAAGTCCCAAAGACAGTAAGAGCCCCAGGCCTTGTCCTAGGGAGACTCAAACCAAAAGAGGACAAAAGTAAGGGTCAGGTAGGGGAAACACAGAAAGTCAGAATAGAAACAATTTTTGACATCCTTTCTTGCTCCAATCTCCTTTGGAGAACCATGAAGTAGGAAGGGCTTTGGTGTCCCAGATGGGATGAAAGAAGCCAGAGCACTCACTGTATCCAGAATCAGATCTTTCCATCCATACCCTCTCCCTTCCCAGTCTCCTTCCACCCCCTTCCCCAACCCCCACCCTCCAAGCACATAGGAGTATCTAAAGCCAAGAGCTCTTAATCATTTGAGTCATGGATTCCTATGAGAGTCTGGTGAGGTCTATGGACAGGGGACCCCTTTTCAGAATGATATGCTTAAATGCATAAAATAAAATAAAGGATTACAAAGGAAATCAGTCATATTCAAATACAGTTACGGAAATATTTTTTAAATTCGCCCCAGGCTAAGAACTCTTGGTCTAAACACCCAATTTTTTTTTTTTTTTAATCCAAGAGGGAGGGATGCGAGGGAAGTTTGGTGATGGGGAGGGCCCTGGCACTGGCAGGCTTGGAAATGGACAGGGTAAAGTGGAGGCTTGGAGACAAGATTTCTTCTAGGAGTAAAGTGGCTGGAAGCTCAGACTGCTGAGTCTAGGGCAAGGAGTACAGGATTAGGCTAGGATCCAAGGGGAGGGGGATGCTGGGAGAGAAACCCTGAGTGCTCAGGAGTGAGGGCTGTAAAAGAAGACAGGAAGCCTAAATAGAGAATGGGTCTGGGAGGCAGAAGGGCAGCTAGATGGCTCAGAGGAGGGAGAACTTGAGTTCAAATCTGGCCTTAGACACTTACTAGCTGTGTGACCTTGGGCAAGTCACTTAACCTCTGTTTGCCTTAATCCACTGGAGAAGGAAATAAACCATTCCAGGATCTTTGCCAAGAAAATTCCATGGGCAGTAGGGTGCACTGGGTCATGAAGAGTCAGGCACGACTGAACAAGTGGGAGCCAGGACAACAGGACGCTGTAACAGCCTAGAGAATATGGGGCAAGGACACCGGGGAGGGGAGCTTGGGCTTGCCCGAGTGAGCTGAAAGACTGGACAGGCTGCAGGCAAGACCCCTGACTCCCGTAAGTGGGAGAGGATGTCTGAATCCAAACAGGACCCAGCTGAAGGAGAGGGGGCAGTGCTAAAGGACGGATGTCTAGGGGGGG